AACCCAATTCCCAGGTATGTGTCAGAAGCACTTAATATTCCAGAATGGAGGGATGCTATGAGAACAGAAATTGATGCCCTACACAAGAATGACACTTGGGAAGTGGTTGATTTACCTAAAGGGAAGGATCCAGTAGGCTGCAAGTGGGTCTTTACTATAAAATATCATGCTGATGGCACCATTGAAACGTACAAGGCTAGGCTGGTTGCAAAAGGCTATACACAGACATATGAGATTGATTATCTGGAGACATTTGCTTCTATTGCCAAGATGACTACTGTGAGAGTTCTACTATCTTTGGCTGCACACTCAGACTGGCCACTTTATCAACTAGATGTAAAGAATGCTTTTCTGAATGGAGAATTACATGAGGAGGTTTATATGTCCCTTCCTCCAGGGATATATGAAAAGGATATGAAAGGAAAGGTCTGCAAGCTGAAGAGATCTCTTTATGGACTCAAACAGTCCCCTAGAGCTTGGTTTGAAAGGTTTAGGGCTGCCCTTGTTAGCTTTGGCTATGTACAGACACAATCTGATCATACACTCTTTGTGAAGAGGAGAGGTGTCTTGGCAGTTTACCTGATTGTATATGTTGATGATATTGTTGTGACTGGTAATGATGTCTCTGGAATTAATGATCTCAAATCTTTCCTTCATACAGAGCTTGAGATCAAAGATCTTGGGGAATTGAGATACATTCTTGGCATAGAAGTTGCCAGATCCAAGGATGGGATTCTTATCACTCAGAGGAAGTATGTTCTTGATTTGCTCTTTGAAACAGGGAAGATGGGGGCTAGACCAGTTGCTACTCCTATTGATATGAGCCATAAACTTTCTGTTTCAGATGGAATATTGTTAGAGGACAAGGGAGTCTTCCAGAGATTACTTGGGAAACTTCTTTATCTATGCACGACTCGGCCAGACATTGCATATGCTGTCAGCTGCATCAGCCAGTTCATGCATGCCCCCAGGGATACTCATATGGCTGCAGCAGAGCGGATTCTGTGTTATTTGAAGGGCTCCCCTGGAAAGGGAATTCTTTTTGCCAAGCATGGCCATATGAAACTTGAAGCCTACACAGATGTTGACTGAGCTGGAAACATTGATGACAGAAGATCTACCTCTGGGTACTGTAGCTTGGTGGCTGGTAACATTGTCTCTTGGAGGAGCAAGAAACAATCTGTTGTTGCTCGATCCTCAGCCGAAGCTGTATATCAAGCCATGACACATGGGGTTCCTAAACTATTGTGGCTAAAATCATTAATGGAAGAACTGGGTATTGAACATGATAAGCCAATGATGTTATATTGTGATAATCAGGCAGCTATCAACATTGCTCACAACCTAGTGCAACATGACAGAACCAAGCATATTGAAGTTGACAGACACTTCATTCGAGAAAGAGTAGCTTCTGGTGAAGTGTGTCTACTTTTCATCACCTCTGAAGGACAGTTAGCAGATTTCCTCACCAAAGGCATTTCCAAGGCTAAACTTCAGCATGATACTGGCAAGCTTGGMATGATTGACATCTATGCTCAGCTTGAGGGGGAGTGTAGAGAAGATGGGCCGAATGGCCCATAGACTATTTACCTCTTTTATCTTTTATGTTCTTTGCTGTAATGGGCCTTAATCTGGGCCTACTCTTTCTTATGTTATGTTTTTTATTTTCTGCCCAACTAAGGGCCTCTCTGTAAATTATCAAAGTTTAACTTAATAAAATTAGATTAAGGGTGTAAGAGAAGAGATTATGTTCGAAACTCTCTTACTCTGAACCCTAGTTGCCGCCACCTTCTTCTTCATCTTCTCTCTTCTAGAATTCTGATTTCTGCTATTTTCTCTTACCTTTTTGCATCTTTCTAAACAGTCCTTTCGTCTCAAAAGGCTGTTTTTCTTCTCGCTCAAAGCCTCAGTGAGAGTTTTGCAAAAACTTGAGAAGATAATCAGGGATTTTCTGTGGGATCTTAGGAGCAATAATAATAAATATCTCCTAGTTTGGGAGGAGGTATGCAAATCAAAAGAGGCAGATGAACTCGCAAAAGGGAGGATACAAGAAAGGAATAAGATTTTGTTGGGTAAATGACTAGAGGTTTCCAAAAGAAAGGGAGGCTTTGTGGGATTTGGTAATTAATAGTATTTATGAGTTGTACCCAAATGGTTGGGACTTGGGAGGATACTTGGTGGGGAAAGGGTGAAGTTTTGGGAGGATGCTTGGTAATTAATAGTATTTACGAGTTGCAACATATTAGATATGATGCTATTTCAGGACAAAGGGTGAAGTTTTGGGAGGATACTTGGTAGGGAAATTTTTCATTCTGCCAAGTGCCAATCCTTCCCTAGAGTCTACAATTTATTCAATTTCAAAAGTAAACCAATTGTTGAAATGATAACCTTAGAGGGGAATGGGTTTGTTTGGATTTAGGTTGGGAAGACCTTTGAAAGATAATGAAACATAAGAGCTGATCCCTTTGATTAATCTACTTAAATATTTCAATTTATCACCTTCGGGTAATGATGAGAGGGTGTAGGCTCCTACTGTTGAGGACACCTTCACTTGTGCTTCGTTTTTTTGTTTTTAAATCTTTATTGCCACTATCCAAGGAACACTTTTTTTCCAGATAAAGAGTTATATATGGCCAAATTCCCCTAAAGATTTTTGTTGGGAAGCTGCCAATAAAATCATAAACACCACCTTTGGTAGTCTTCAAAGAAAAAGGAAAAGCTGGTTTCTTTCACCTCATGTGTGTGTCCTATGCATGAGAAGGGGGGAAATACCAACCACCTATTATTGTATGCCTTTAGGATGTGGCAATACGTTTTCTCTTTGGCTGGGAGAGTTTAGGAGGCACCAACTGAAGTTGTAGACTTGTTTAAGACAGATTTGATGAGATGCTCTACCTAGAGGCAAAAGATCTTGTGTGGCAATGTGTGCAGGGGGCAATTACTGTTAAAAAAAGCGTGTGTGTGTGGGGGGGGGGGGCAGTTCTATGGTGGCTTTGGAGTGAAAGAAGTGCTAGGATGTTTGAGAAGAGGTACAAGCTAGTGTAGGAAGTAATTGAACTCACCATGATAAGGACTGAGCATTGGGATTTGGTAAGTGAAGAGTTTAAAGGTGTCACTCTAAATGCTATGCTAAGGAGTGGCAAACTGTTGATGGCTTTCATACTAGAAAACAGAGAGTAGAGTGGACTCCTCCAGAAGCAGGGTTGGTTATGCTCAACTTTGGTTAGTGCTGCCTTGGAAATCCAGGGCTGTCTAGTGTGGGGGGTGTTGTAAAGGATCATAGTAGCAACATAATTCTTAGTTTGTCAGACCCAGTTGGGCAGTGCAATTCTCTAAGGGCTGAAATGTTGACCCTAATCCAAGGCATAAAACTGATGCTGCCACAGGGGTTGAGGAATGTGGTAGTGGAAGGAGATTGTCAAACTGTTATCTTTTGGATAAGGACACAGACCCCATGGGAGTTTAGATTGATTGTGGGACTAGCTCATTCCCCAGGGGACACCTTGAATGCATCATTCAAGGTGAAGATAATTCTTTGTTTGTCATAATGCTTATATCTAGCAGTGAAGATAATCAGGAAAAAGTACACTAAACCAAAAAAAAAATGATTAGATTTTATTCCCAGAGCCAAAAAGAACCTAAGGGAAATTCTCTTCCCAAAGGTAATTCTTTGACCCCCTGATGCAGTTTTCTTCCCAAGAGAAAAACACTTTTGAGATTATCTATCTCATTAAGGGATCTCCACACCAAAAACAAACCCTAAAATTCAAAAGTAATCATGACTAGGGAACAACCAATGGTAACTCAAAGAATGTTCCCCCAAAAATATACAATACCACATATTTATAAAAGGACCTAATTTCTTTTCTTAAAAGAAACCCAAAAGTAGTATTGGTTTACAATTACGAAGATGCCAAAAAATTTGCTTGAGATTTGGGATTCAGACAATAAAACCCAACGGGTTCTGTGATCAATGTTTTGGTTTATTACTTTTCCTTTCAGTTGCTTTGTATTATTCTCTTTCTCAATATTTATTTAATCCTTGTTATTGATTGAAAAAAAAAACGTAGAAAAGGATAACCAGGAAGTGATGGATTAGAAGATTCACACCATTTAAACTCATTAGAGTCATAATGCCTTAGCTGACTTTAATCTTCACAACACACCTAAACATAAAACCCTTCCTAACTTGAGCTCATCTCTAATGCCTTTTTTTTTTTTTTGAAAAAGGTAAAGCCATATTATAGACAATAAACTGATTCTTTCCCTAATATGAGCCCTGAGAGATTCTTACTATCACACATGTTCGGAAGACAAAGCATGCTAAAGTTGTAATTTTAATGAACGTTTATGAAAAAGTACTTCCAAAACTTATAGAATCATCACTAAATTATTTAGAAATTGTAAGTGACCATTAAAATTATTAACCCGAAAAACATATATTCCAGTTATAGACCTGTCCTGATATTGGTATTTGACCATGATTTGCTCAATACATTTCTAGAATGCATGGATCTTTTGGAGCAATAGCTAATTAAGTTTTATGAAGTACAAAATCAAGGTGTTTGGTTATGTTTTGGCATGTAAAATTAAATCAAGAGGTACAGTTATGAACTCAATAGTCAATACTAGGTTTAATTCTAGCTCAGGTTGAGATTCCTTTAATTGGCATGGTGAATTGATTTTAGTCTGTTTGCCATCTGGGATCATCTTTCTGTAAAGTCAGAGGTTTCAAACAAGGGTCTCACATTAACACAGTATTCAAAATTAACATTAGCCTGATGCTTGAATTTTTTTTTTCTTGGTATCTTCTGAAGGGCTACACAACGGGGTGTAGTCCATCCCCCAACCCAGGTGCAGTCAGGATTCAATCCCAAGTCTCTGCTACGACCAGCAGGAAACCTTACCAACCAGCTGGTTGGCACCTTGTATGCTCGAAATATTGTCATCATTCAATGTTTTGCATCTATGGATTGTGCTTTAACTTTTCTCATTTGCAGGGCTGTGTTAGCTTGGCTTTCAATCCTTGCACACCGAAACAAAGACAAGAAAGTTGGAGAGAAACTAGTTTATGTTTCTGATGTTGTTAAGGAGCATTGGGCAACTTATGGAAGGAACTTCTTTTCTAGATACGACTATGAGGTGAAGATCACTATCAAGTTTTTCTGACATACACTAAAAAATTCTCATTATGATTCCTAGAAAATTTGCCCAAGAATAAGTTTACTGTTGTTGTCTTGCTTCTACCCATTTTCTGGAAAGAAAAGCAAAACTTTGATAACTATGGATCTGGTCCTAATTTTTTCTTAGGAATGTGAATCTGAAGGAGCCAATAAGATGATAGGGTATCTTAGAGATTTGGTATCTAAGAGCAAGGCAGGTGAAAAATATGGTAAGCTTGCACCCAAAATTCATGAAGATCCTTCTGGGATTTCTTAATTATTTTTAAAATGTTAAAGAGTTTACCTTGTTATAGGGAATTATGTCCTTCGATTTGCGGATGACTTCAATTATACAGATCCTGTAAGTCTAACTAGCATTTCATAGTCCTTGCTTTTGGTCATTTATACTAATCTATAAGGAGAGGAATTGTTTAGACTGTCTACATACTACAATTAAGGTTTAGTATTGGCATTCACATTTTCCTTTTTCAGGTGGATGGGAGTATAGCAACCAAGCAAGGTATTCGGTTTGTATTTACAGATGGATCAAGAATCATATTTCGTTTATCAGTACGTACCAGTTTTCCCTTTGATTTTCTTTTGATTGTTCCACCCAAGTTCTGTCTGGGGCAAAAAGTTAATAAGTTTTTCCTTTACAGGGAACTGGTTCTGCAGGTGCAACTATTCGAATTTATGTTGAACAGTTTGAGCCAGACGTGTCAAAGCATGATATGGATGCACAAATGGCACTAAAACCATTGATAGGTGCGTTCTTTGTCTTCTCCATGATCTGATGTGTAATCTTGCATTGATGTTTTGGTTCTGTTTTCAGATCTGGCATTATCAATTTCAAAGTTGAAGGAGTTCACTGGAAGGGAGAAGCCTACAGTCATCACATAATGCATTGCCTGCCACTGGCATTCACATAATTGGTGGTATTAATGTTCATGTTGGTATATTCTCTTATTCAATTTTGATTACCAGGGTGGGTAATCTTGCTCTGCCCACAAAAAAGCCATTTGGTGGATAAAGAGGTGGAAGAAAAAGGGGGAAAATAAAACCAAAGAAGTGAAATGATTGTCTGTTGTAAATAAGGTTTTTGTTTTTCTTGGTCTGAATCTGAAGAAAATCTGCTGATAAGAACCAATTGAACATTTGAACCATCTTTTCCTTAATCTGTTCCAAGCTTTATGGTGGGCAAGTATTGTAACGCAAGTGGAAACTTCAAAAAGATGTGTAAGTTGTTGCCCGATGGTGGTTCCCCTCCATGATTACATATTTCATAAGGAACTCTGGGAATTTTAATGCCAACCGTTTCATTAAGATAGTCTATAACTGCAGTATATGGTATTTGTGCACTGTGGCTACACTACATATTATAAGAAATTTTACTTAATAAGATGCATTATCAATTTTCCTTTGGATCCATCATCTTGAGTCCATACGTGCTACACCTTTGACGCAATAGCTCCAACTCCCAAGATAAGAAGGGATTGCTAAGATAGTTTGGGATTTAATGGAATTTCATATTTTGCCAAAAATTAATTTGATGATACAAAGAACAAAACGAGATATGTTTAAGCAGTTTCTTGTTCTTTAGGGTAAGTTACTTGTACCTCTCATGGGGTTTCAGAGACACAGAAGTAAGACAGAACAAGTATTTTACCGAAGACTATTAGCTTTGCATTATATACATTGAAACCGACAGAAGTACACTTTTCTTATAAATGCAAAATTCAGATTTATCCTCTCAATTTTTTATAAGGTGTTAAAAATGGTAGATGAATTTAAAAAATATTTCAAATGTCATCTAAGCACTTAAATTTTTTCAATTACTAAAACTGATACTAGTAGAGAGAATAATTTAACTCAATCTAAAAGGTGTAAGTTAATAGATAAACCCAAGGGGAGGATTTAAGTAAAGGGTGGTGTTTATACTGATGATTAAACCCTAGCGGCCTAGCCTCTCCTATCCTCTCATTCTGTTTCTCCCATTTTCTAGTGAAAATATCTTTTGACTTTTATATTCTTTGTTCACACAAATCGTGTGCTAACCATAGATTGCCGGTCTACCTGCATCATTTTGGCATGGAACCGGTACTGCAAAACAAGTTCAGAATTGAGAAACTGATTGGAATTGTTTGAACTGTAGTTACCTGGTTTGATGGTTCATCACATGGTCTGACTACAGGTTTTGTAAAACAGGCTATTTAAATGAATCTGGTTTTCTAGAGGTGGATTGATTTATGATTTAATTTATTATTATTATTATAACACAGACAATACTAGGGCTGTAAACAGATCGGTTTTGGATTGGAGTCAGCAAAATCCAAATCTGATTTAATTATTGAAAACTTGCATCTGAATACAATCCAGAATTCGATCAGGTCTGAAGACCATGGATTCAGATCAGATTCAGATTTAATTTGACTCCGCTTAATTTTTTAAATACAAAAAAAGAAATTAATTACTTTTCAACTTTTATATATAATTAATTAATGTAAATACAACATGTTGAATTTATAATATATATAAATTCATATAACATAATATATAAAAATATATTTTTATAAATTTAAATAAAATTATATAATTTTTTATATTAAAATCAACAAATATCATAGTATAATTGGATTCGGATTTTAATCAAATTCAATTTGATTACATTAACACATTATCCAAATCCAGGATAATCAGATCAATGTCGAACTGGCCGCAGAGTTTCAAGTATCATTGACATGCCTAAAGGACACTACTTTGATGGTATAGCAGTAGTTTAGTTTTCAATTTTTATTTTATTTTATTTTTTTGAAGGACCCCTAAATTGATTCCAAGTGGAGGGATGGCCACCTTAAATTTTAATAACCATTGTCAAAAGTAGGGTAAGTCAAGACAGGGAAAGATGGTAGCCTGTCTTGCTCCAAAACCAACATGAAAAAAGAACACAAGCTCACTCTCGCAACCCAAACCACTTACAAGGATCCAAAAACAAAAAGCCAAAGCCAAACCAAACCAACGAAATGATTAACCCAAACGAAGAGTCAGAAACCTCAATACTTGTTTCTTGATTTCCTGAACAGTATAAGTTTGTAAGCTTCATTAGTTCCTTAATTAATTTAGAAGATCTTTTACCTATCTCTTTTTCCCTTACTACCAAATTAATATGCATTAACCTTTGCGGATTACATTTATGAATTTTCTTTTAATCTTTATTTTATTTTTTGAACCAATATACACACTACACACTAGATCTTCTAATATGCTATAAAAAAAATAATTGTGGTCGAAGCAAGGATTAAAATATCTATATGATACGGCATATCGTATCGGTCAGAACCGATACAAGATACACTATGACTGGTACGATACACGTCCAGTCGTGCGTATCAACAAGATACTATGTGACTATCGTCTTGAGCCATTACGCCATCATGCAACATGTGATATCAAGTAAAATAAAATAAATGTTATTAACTTTATTATTAACAAGCAACCTAAATAAATAATATATGTTTATGTTCAAAAAGAAAAACTTAAAATAAAAAATAACATTAAAAATCAGTATTTTATATACATTAATGAAGTAAACAATCTATCAAATTTACATTTATATCAAAAATTGTATTTTAATATCAATAAATTTTTACAAGTAAAAATATTAATAATAGAATAATTATTTTAGTACTCAATATTCATAAATTTGTACATTATATGTATCTTCAAATTTTAATATATTTTTTACAATTTTTTCATTGATATTTTAATTTAGAATAAAAAGTAACATATTTATTATTTATAAAAATAAACATTTTTTTTTACAAAATATTCAAGAATATAATGTTAAATTGAATTTATCAAATCCACTAATTTAAACTTATATAAAAAAATGATTTGTTATTTCAGAAAATTTATAGAAATAAAAATGTTAATGGAATCGTTACTTTAGTAATTAAAAATTATCAATTTCATATGATATGTATCTTAAAAATTTTAATAATTTTGATATATTTTCAGTTAAGATTAAAGTAAAAATATGATAATAATATATGTAGAAATTTATGAATTTCATATGATAATAATTTTGATATTATCAAACATTTTAAATTTTAAAATTTAATTGACTTTTTTGTCAATGTTAAAATGTAAAAAATAGAAAATAATTGCTATAGTAATTAAAATATAATAATTGCATATGTTTTGTGTCTTGGATTTGCAGAATTTAACATAATAATGATTTTGTGCATGTTTTATTTTGTAAAAACTATATAATATGAGTCTTGGACTCTTGATTGATAGATTATCAACAAAATTGTATGATATTTATTTACCTTGTTGTATTAGTAATATATTTCTTTATTATTAAAATATACATTTCTATGTATTTATACTTTATTTGTGGCTATTTTGACTTTTAAAGTTAGAGTAATTGATGCACTTATGAAATTTGTATTATTTTCCTAGCATATCAATGTGTTTTTATATCTTTCATCTGTATCCATGCGTATCCGTATCCATTTTTATGTATTTATATTTTAATGTTTTATTAATTATTAAAGGTTATTAATTATAAAGTTTTAATAAAAAAAATTCCCAAATCAAATAAAGCAGTGAGCTTATCTTCATGAATTGCCATATTTCTGTCTCATGGAGGAATGATGCGGTCTCCACTCTATGCATGCAGGGAACCTTCTGATTGGTCATCTGTGCGTTATTTGTCTTGCACATGTAATAATGGCCTTTCAGTGTTTTAATTTTTTTAATATTAATCTTTTTTGAAAGAAGGCTTTATTTATTCTAACCATGTGATATACTAAGTCGTCAAATATAAGCGTCTGTTTGGTTCACAGTTCTAATCGGAATTGGATTCAGAACGATCTATTCCCTTCTCCTATTTGGTTCAGTGGAATCGAAATCGAAATCAAAATTAGAATTGACTGGAATGGATTCTCATTCTCAAGCAACGGGGAGGGAATGACTATTTCCTCATATGGGGGAATGCCATTCCAGGAATGAGATTCCGATTCCACCCAACCTAACAGTTGGACCATTCCAATTCCGGACCCCTATTCCCACAAACCAAATGGACCCTAAGTGTCCACTCATGATGACTCATTGAATACTTTGAAATTGAAAAAAAACCAAAATTTTCTACCATCTCTATCTATCTAAAGGCCAACAGTTCTCTCATCTCAATGTTACATGAGTACATGACCTCGCATTCCTCTCATTTCTCACACATGCAATAATTTATTTTTAATTAAATTATTAAGAATACAAAAAGTCACAATAAAATACTTTCTATTAAAATCCATCATTACTCTAATAAGATCATTTTTAAATCTCTCTCTCTAGCCAGCTATGGGTTCCCGTTCCCCACTAAATGAAATATTTGAAGCCCAACAGCATATCCCTCACTGGGTACTGGCATCAGTTTTGGAGTCCATTCTCAACCGAGCAACATCAAAACATAGCGTGTGCTTAGTCTGTGATGACACATGGAGTCATCAATAAAATGCTGTTTTGTTTAAGACTTATGTATTCACATTTCATTGAGATCAGATCATTTGCACCCCACAAACGCCCTATATATACATCTCAGTCTGCATTAGAAACATCTCCCGAAGTTGTTAGAAACGTTATTGGGATATGCTATGGGGCGTTTGTGGGGTGCCCTTGGTGGGGCACAGATGTGAATTCCATTTCATTGGGGTCTCATGCAACCAGAGATCTTCTCTCTCATTTTAGATCCAAGTAGTATAGTAGTATGTACCTTCCAAACTCTGCTGCTCTTGCTTGTAGTAAGAAGATGAGGTGTACTCTGATGTCTTTACTCATCTACCAATCTCTACTCATTTAATTTTTTCTTCCCTTGAGATTTGAAACAGAAACAATCTGAGGCCACTTCTTCCATTCAACCAATCAATCTTCTCCTAATGCCCAACATCCAGAACCCAAATCACTTTGGATTATCCTTGCCCCCCATTATCTCATAAAAGGCCAACTCCCACCAGACCCACCAAAAACCCCAAAACGCCAAATGAAATTTGATTAAATCAGTACGGTTTGCAGAAAACAGATCCATCTATTCTTGGGGAGCCAACCACAAAACTCACTTCTTCTGTCTGACACACTTCACTTTCCAAATTTAAAAATTGATGAGACCCAAGCTTGTTGCTGAGTCTATCAATATCATTGGATAAATTGCTCTGGGAACTTACTTGTATGCTCCACTTTTTCAGTGCATGATATATACGCAGGTTGGAGCTTTGTGGGTTAATGGCAGCCACAATATTGCTCAATTGCTTCCTAATCTGAATTGCACAATAACGTGGGAAAAAGATGTGATGTCTCAAGGAACTTGGGTCCTTCTCAATCTTCCACTCCCCTTACTACTGTGTGTGTAGTTGC